ATGATTCGTCATCACTGATGTGGTGATTTTCCGAGAATGATTCGCTCATCATTTTTTTTTTTTTTTCTGAAAGTATAGATATATATTTTGATCACTGGTTTTCTAGTCTCACGAAAGGTATATCAGCCTGAATTTGTACACATTTGTACGAAAGTCTAAGGTTGACTACCCTCCGCGAGGGGTATCCCCGCGGTAGCTGTTGCTCCCGCGAGGTTTAGATGGGTTCTGAGGGTGGGGGATCCTGGTACGTAGATATGGGTCAGTATTCGCAGTGAAGAGAATTTAGTTAGGGTGTAGTAACCGTCTCATGTTCTCATGCAAAAATATCTAGCTTGGGAGTGATTCATACACAAAAAAGAAACCATTCTAGTTCCGAATCTTTTCTTTTCTAAATTTATAAATTTATATTACCACAGAAAAAGTCCACATCATGATTTGAAGAAAAAACTTTTTTGAATGCATGCGGTACCAAAAAATAATGTGCTTATTAGTAGCACTGATGATCCATCATTCAGAAATACTGAATCAAAATAATACAATACATGATTAATTGATTTTGAAAATCGTCACCGTTTCCTAAAAATGAAACTGGATTAAAGTGCAGTTTCTTCGCAAAGTAGCACGTATCAAACCTGAATAAACTCTAAAATTATCACTGCTACACGCATTGAGTAATGAAGAACTACATTTCTGGCTTCAAAGCGAGAAAAACATCCGTCGACTTCTATACCGTTCGTCTCCGAAAATTATACATGGCTATAGTGAAAAACTCTGAACTCGGAAAAAATAACACGTTTTCCATTAAAAAAAATAAACCATCGCGGCTTGCATGCATGAACTAATCTCTTACCAAAAGTTAGGATCCATCGTCTCTGCCTCTTAACTAAATAAATAACTGAATAAAAGGGCTTCAGATAATAGAACTGAAAACTATAAAGAAAAATATGCGTCGCTAGATTGCATTTGAAAGTACTGTAGCACACTCGAACAAATTCAGCCAAGGGGAAGAAGTGATTGAGTAGATAAGTACAAGTAAAGGTATCGTACAACAGATTTTACATCAGACGTACAGCAGTGCCTAAACTGCAACAATTATAACAGTACTGTACTGTACTCTAAAAACGTACCTGCCACGGAAACGATCCGTACGACATCTCGTTCCCACCCACAATCTTGCCCAAGCGGTCATCTACGATTTGAATACCGCTGCTGCTGCTAGATGTCGCAGGCAAGTACGCGTTCCCGCTGGATAAATAAAACGGCCGCTCGCCCTTGGCTCCCGGGGCATCGCCAGCAAACTTGCCCGAGTTGGACGCAAATTCCCTGCGACCCTGTTTGACCTGAGCATTCGAAGCACTTCCTTCATTCGTCGATCGGTCCGGCAAATGCCACCAGGGACGATACGACTGGCTCGGCAATTGGGCCGCGGGTCGCGTGAAACCCGGCGCATCGTTGCGACGATTCGGACCTTGGTCCTTGGTATTCGGATTTTTGCCGAACCCGTTGCTGTTCAGACTGGTGGGGGTGAACCCATCACTGCTGGCTGTCCCTGAAGAACTGACTTCCATGGGTGGTCGGAAATTATATGGACGTCCGGGAGAGCTGGGGAACATTTTTTTCGGGTTATTGGGGGGCGATGATGGGGTTTTCCCTGATCCCGTGATAGTGATCAATGGTACTTGACCCGAGTCGAGTCTTTTCACAACACCCGTGATGTTGGTTAATGGTCTTCGGCTTGCATTGGCAACTGCAAACAGCGGCCTGCCCTCCGAGATTTCTATTTTCTTGGGTATTCGATTTCCTGCAGCTTCCCCGATCGCAGCTCCTTGGATTCCACAGGTCTGCAAAATAAACAAGAATATAATGCAAATAAATTTAAAGCATGTAGCACCATTATTATTATTACTTTATTTAAAACTTGGGAATAAATAATTTTGATTTTGTGCTTCTATACGCTCTTGCATCTCCAAATTTGTGCAGTATTTTTTTTTATTCCAGAAAGTCATCTTTCGATTTCTCGGTGGAAAGAATAAAAATGTCGATTTCAGAACCTTCTTGGCACAGAAACACGGAACTGAATCTACCGTCAAGATAAACATCTATGGAGAAAAATGATTGATGCATAAGTACCATGCCCTTCACGTTTTGGAAGTGCAAAAAAATAACAATCCAGATCGCTAAAAATAAATCGTTTGAAAATCGCTCGATTTTTATTCAAAGTTTTAATACCTAATATTGCTGCCAAGAAGAGCAAAAAAGACCATTTTTTTAGAAGGGACAAGGTTAATTTGAAGGAGTGCTGGTTTCTTTTTTTTTGAGTACCCCCCACTGGATATTTTGAAGTTAAAAAGCATGTGTACGTAACTGTTCAGCCACTGCTTTGGGTCACACAACAACCATAAGCAAAAACTTCTTGTTTGGTTCAGAGTTCCCTTCATTAATTTTTTCAGATTCAATCGTACTGGTGAACGATGTCTTATTCAAATTGAACAGAACTCTTCCCTTTTCAAATAGTATCTTCCAAATAATTATGACCTCTCCTTTGGTGCGTTGCTTGTGTTGAAAATGGGTGCAAAATGTAAAAATTTTCAAACTGACGTGTCTGAAGTGAAACACATTCAAGTTTCCTTGTAGTAAAGGCCGGATATCCTTGTTATCTCTCAAATATAACTAGGAGCAGAATGATTAATCTCTTGGGAAAATGTAAATATTTCGCCGCACTTGGCAGCAACAATTCAAGTCTGGTGCATCACTGAAAGGCTGATATTTTAGTATGCGATCAGTACCAACCAATTGCAATTTTTCCGAAGAAAATATTGCAGAAGCAGTGTCTCGTTTTGGACGACGAACGAAAATGCTGGCTCCAACATTGATCGATGGTCGTGCTGAGTATTTTGCGTCAAGATTCGCAGGTCTGAAGATTGACTCGCCCATGGATTGCGGATCAACAATGAATCTACTGTAGTCAGCTTTACTCGATTCCCACTTGTTCGGATATGCGTCTGCAAAAATTAAAAACAAATCCAAGAGGCTTTGGAGTTGATTTTATATTGCCAAAATTCCTGTGAGTTTAAAGCGTACAAGTTAGCATCAGAAGAAAATGTTTCCGTTAAAATAGACTTTTCCTTCCGAGAGGAATGAACTCTCCGTTTACTGCACAGTATAGGAAATATAAATAAAACACAGTAATATGTAGTATGGACGCGGAAAAACATTTTTTTTTATAGCGAATAATCAATTCCCTGCTTAATTATTTTCTGGCGGACCAATGTACCATAATCGTGATGAAAATGCGACCAATAACTTCTAAGATTTCTAGACTACGGAACGACCGCTAGATTATTGAAAATATCCACTTTTCCGTCAAATTACTCAAAATTGAAAATTGTCCCAAGAAAAATCGACAGCTGGTGGAAAGTAATACAATTTTGTGATTCTTCAGCTAATTTGTAAAAGCGTACGTAAATATTCGTTCATTTTTCAAACCCGAGGAAAAACCTGCTCAAGTCCAGTATTACGCGATTTTTTTTTTTGCAGAAAAAACTGCTATGAGACCGGTTGAAGATGAAAATCATTGGTACATTTTTTTTTCAATGCGACGGCTTGAAAATTGAATCATGAGTTCATTAAACGCTTTGCTCTGGATGTTCTAATCTTTTTTCCAAGTGCTTCAAATCTTCATTTGCAGGCTTCGCCTATAGTTAATGCCGCATTGCACAAATTAAACTGCAAAAATGCACGAACCGTTTGACGAAGAAATCAGTGGAGCATATGGTCTGACAGCAATCACTGTTCCCGAAGATTCCTGTAACTTTGCAGACGTTGGCAACGTTGCGTCTGCTACTGCATGCCTTCTCTGGTGAAACTTAGACTCTGAGGCTGCCAAATAACCCGCTGAAAATTGTCCCTCGGGTCTCCATGGCCGTCTGTAACTGGAATCTCCAAAGTAATTCGAGTTCTTTCGACTGTCACTGTTTTGGCCCAAGTCGTTCTCGAGAGAATTCAGCAACAGGCGGCACAACCGAGTCAACGTATTGTATTCGTACGTGCGGCAGGTCGGATAGCCTTGGCAAAAATCCGAACACTATCCAAAAGTTGCAAATAGAAGCATGCGGCGTTTATTAGTCAACTTCTTGCCGTTTGAAATTTCACGATGAATAAAGTAAGAAGTTTGAAGCTATTGATTCAAATTTTAATGAAAGACAAACTAACCTATGCGGAGAAAAATTTTTCAAAGGAACTCAAAGTTGCCAAAAAAAACTTGCCCGCGTTATTCGAAAATGGCTGGTATTTTAATCACAGAATTTCCTGACACGAATGGAATTTTTATTCGCGTTCAGTATGATTTTTTTTTTTTATTTTGCACTGTCAAGGCAATGAATTCAGCAAACAAAAGACGCATTTTTAAAATTTAAGAGCGCTGCTAAAAAAAAAAGCTAAAATCATCGCTTTTAATTTTAAAGTCCTTTCTTTTTCAATTTGGGATATAA